TTTTTTTTGCCAAATGCTGAAAAACTGGAAATTGTGAAGTTGTGAACAGATTTGACAAGTCGTTACTCATATTTATGAGAGGGCGTAAATGCCGGCGGAAGAGCCATTTGGATACTGTTAGTTCAAAGACTACTTTGCACATCCCCTATTAGCGGCTATTCTGCCTGCCTCTGTGCAGAGCCCTCTGATGAGCTGGCTGGCCCACCCAAGCCCTCCGAGCTCCCTGGAGTGATCATGAATGACATCCTGCTGTCCCCAAGAAAAGTCTGGAGAAGAAGAGGGAGGGCAGTCATCTGAGGGGCACCCTTCTATTTTTGTTTACAAAAGCATGTTTGAAGACCCTCGAGAGCCGGGTTTCAACTTTCCTTCCCAGGCAGGCAGGATGAAGCCCAGATTGTAGGCTGCGGCTTCTTTTCTATAAGTTGCTACAAATCAGATCTGGCAGTCAATCTCGTTTAGGATGGAAAGGCCCCATGCCTGCTATGGGTGCCAATGGCTTCAAGGGGCATGTGGGAAGAGTAAGAGGAACTGCAGAGCAACCCGAAGGAAGGTTCTCTGCTCCTTTCTTTCAAGTGCATTCACAGCCATGGAGTGTGTGCTGACTCATCCTGACCCCCTGTGGATTTCCTGAACTATCACTGTTTACATGAATAGAAAGGCCAGTCTTTCTCGAGGAGCTGCTGGTGCTTTTGAACAGTCAACCATGTGGCTCGGGTCCAGTATGGAACCAGGACACCGCCAGAGCTCAGGGGCAGATCCACCCTGTGCTGTAGGGGCGCTATGAGTTGGTAGCAACTCGACGGTGCTGAGAGGAGGTTTTGGAATATTTATGCCATAGCTGTGTTTATGAGGGGCCCCGAGGGCTGCAGATTGGGCTGCCATCGGCAAGGTCCATCGTTGGCAGCAGGGTCACCAGGAATCAAATCACTGCGCCGCGATGAGGTGGGTATGGCTGTTCCTGTGGGAGCCCTGGCGGTGCTGTGGTTACGAACGGGGCTGCTCACCTCCAGGGCTGCAGTTGGAGACTGAGTGACAGTCTCAGAACTTCAAAAGGGCAATTCCACCCTGTCCTGTAGGGTCTCTAGGAGTCAGAATGGACCCCGGGGGAAATGAATTTGCATTTTTCAATAGCTGTTGCCAGACAGCCTCAAAAGCACACAGGCCAGCAGACCCCCAGGTTAATCAAAGGAACTGAGAATAAGAACCCACTTGGCAGAAGGGAGGGGCCCTGCTGGTGTAATGGTTACCTGATGGGATGATCACTTCCAGGTTAGCAGTTCAAAAGCACCAGCAACTCTGCCGAGAAGGATGGGGCTTTCTATTCCCTTGAAGACTGACAGCCTCTGAAACCCACAGGGGCAGTTTTACCCTGTCCTGTAGGGTCACTGTGAGTCAGAATTGATTCATCAGCAGGGAGATTTGGTTTCTGTTTTGGCAGAATAGCAATGGCTTAGACATTCATTTCTTTGGCCCTTGTTTTCTGTTGCCTGCCATGGGGACTGACTGACTGACTAATTTTTTAAAAGGCTAACATTAAGTTAGCTTTAACATTAAGGCTAACATTAAGAAAGATGTGTTTCAGGTTGGTTCAGAGGATGGTGGTGTAGAGTTGATGACCAAGTAGAAAATTGGACTAGGAGACTTCTGAAGAGCCCGCAATTGGATAGGGTTTGATTCACCACACTCCCTTCACTTAGAATCACGCACATCAACAGAAAAGATCTTCCCACCACATATAGATAAATTGAAACCACTCAGAGGAATGGAGAAGAGCTGCTAACCACAAGGTCAGTGGTTCAAGCCCACTAGTCACTCCACAGGGCCCCTAGGGCATCATTAAGAGTTGGAAGCAGCTTGATAGCAGTGAGGCTTTGTTTGCTGTTTGTTTTAGTTTTCTCGATTGCTTAACATCAATTGGTGGTGTTTTAGTTTGGGTATTAAGTGAAGGTTTATGAAGCAGATCATCAGTTTTACAGTCAACAGTTTATATACATGTTGCTTCAATTCATCAGCGAATCATGGCTTAGCCCACTTTCTTCAAGGGTTTCCTGTTTCCACCACCACCATCCCCTTCTTTCCTAACCCTCTTCTGTCCTTGGGGGGATGCTGCCCTGTTGATCGTAAGTGGTTGATTATTCTGATGGATTGCTTGTAGGGTTTTATAATGGGAGAACGAAGAGGCAGGCAGAGAAATTGGGAAGTCTACAAGTTGATGTTACAGAAAGTGCGTGTGCCTGCAGGCACGCACATGTGTGTATAAACGTATTCTATGTAATTAAGTTAAGAAAAGAAAAAAATCACTTCCTAAAACTTTTCCTTGAACTCACTCCGGCTTAAAGAAGTCCCAAATGTGAGTAGCATGACCCCGGCAATATGAAGATTCAAATGGGAAACCCCACCGGGCTGGCCAGAGGAGCAGGGCCAGAGCCGGCGGGTGCGTTGAAATACCTGTCTTGGTCAGAGGGATGGAGAAGAGCTGCTGCAGAAGCTGGTTTTCCGATGTTCTCAGGACCACAACCACATCGGCAGGGAGGGTGTCTCTGTTCTTCTCGAGAAACCCAGACGCATCATACAATACCTGCAGCGTGGGTAGCAAATAACAGGTCTGTTAAACCCACTGTTGGTTGGTTGGTAACATGAGCAGTCGTTAATTGAGGGGGCCCTGGTTGTGTAGTGGGTTGCTCATTGGGCTGCTAACCACAAGGACAGCAGTTTGAAACCACCGGCCGCTGCACGGGAGAAAGATGAGGCTTTCCACTCCGGTAGAGATTTACAGTCTTGAAAACCTGCACGGACAGTTCTACCTTTGCCCTAAAGGCTCGACATGTGTCACACTGAGTCAGTGGCAGTGAGTTTGGCTTGGTTTTGGTGCAGGAATCATCATTCTATAGCCACGCTTTTACATCTTGACCATCGGCTGAGGCTACTTGTCTTCATAGCATGCTCACATTGTTCTTTCAAGAAAGGAGTCTTGTATCAAAGATACCCCACACTAGAAGTGTTACTAAAATATACTGGGCACTTACTATATGTGGGGCACCCATCCTAGGACATAAGTACTATTATGATTGCCACTTTACTCGGGTGCAGTCTCCTAACTGGCACTCATCAAAACCCAAGCTCTTGGGGTGCCTTGGGCAGGGGAGAACATTCCCATGTGGTTAAACATCAGTGCATCAGCGAAGAACTGGAGGTCTTGGGCTCCATCCTCACGGCCCCCGTGGGTGCTGCCAGCCAGGGTGCTCACTGCAGTATCAGTCATTCAAAGTTTGTGTGTAGACAAGGGAGTCTCGGCAGCGCTCCTTAATGTCTTCCTAAGCTGATCTTGATCACACTGACCTCGTTTCTAACAAAGCTCTCAAAGAGGTACCATCAAGTACTCACTGCCCCTGAGTCAGTTCAAATTGAGGACAACTCATGGCGACCCTATAGGACAGGGTAGAACTGCCTCTGTGGGTTTCTGAGACGAACTCTTTATAGCAGTAGAAAGTCTCATCTTTCTCTGGCCCATCAAGTACTTACTATGAGGAGTGAAAAAAGAGTCAACCCCCTTTACCTGTATTAGAAATGACTTTCAGTCAACAGCCAGACAGGCAAAAAATCAATGTCAATATCATGCTATGAATGGAAAAGAGAATTTTGATAAACTTTTCATCAGCAAAATAATCCTAGATGCCTACTACTCAGCTCCTACCCATTAGCAGGAACCTGATAGGAACCAATTAGCCATCAATCAAAGGGTTCTTGCGGGAGTAACATTTGCCACAAGTTGGCCTGAATGGTGGAGAGTTTCCTCAGTCCATCACTGATCTGCCTCAGGATCTTGAAATTGAGACGGAGGCAGAATGTGTGAAAAGTGGAAAGTTCACCCAATGTTGCAAAAGCGCAACATCCGGTTGATGATGTGAATTCTTTTCCTCGCCCTCCTTTTTATCTGGACATTTTTGCTGCCCGGTAGAAATGTGCTTCAAGTGCTAAAATTTGAGTCCCACGGTGACCGGAACCTTCCTCCTTTACCTCGTTTCCATCCCCTAATTCCTTCCAAATGTGAACCCTCGCCGCTGAACACACAGAAGAGCCCTAAGACGTTTTCTCTCTGGAGAGCTGACCCTAGGAAGCCAAGCCTCAGGCGAGAGGCAGGTGGCGGCTCTGTGGGCCACCCCAGAGAGAAATTGCTTTGATGCCACGGGCAACTCTCAGAGAGAGGCACCGCTGAGGGGGTTGGGAAGTTAGGATTCAGTGTTCCAGAAGAATTTAAAAAGAGGAAGAAAGACACCTGCATGTCATTTGGGGCGACAGAGTCCTGCGATCACTCTACCCCTTGTCCACTTGAGGTCCCTCACCTTCCCGGCGTAGTGCTGGATCCCGAAGCTCAGCTCCACTCCTTTGGGCCGCCAGAGGTACTTGCTCCGTAAATTATCTTCAAATTTATCTGTGCGCAGTTCAGGTTGAAATGTTACCAAGTGAAAGGTCTGCCCCTTCCAACGAACGCGTAGCTCCTTATGCCCACGCTTCCTCAAAGACCCAACCAAACAACACCAGGACAGAACCAGCTGCCCTTGAGGAGATTCCCACTCACGGGGACCCGGGGTCTGCCACCATAGCTTTAAAACCATAAGGAGAGCCCACAAAAGGCAGATAACTGTTGGACATATCTTGGCAACTTGTGACCATTTTATTAAACAAAGGATATCATTGGAAAGCTGGCGGGGAGGGGGGGGGGGGCATTTCAAGAGACCCATTTTCAACTCCTAGAAAGGGCTCTCTTCCATGAGCCGGCTTCCCATCTGGGAAAGAAGCTGGAGCCTTCTGCTCCTCCCT